GGGGGGGGGGGGGGGGGGGGGGGGCGCACAGGAGGCACTGGCCCCTGACTCAGCACCACTCAGGGCGCAGTAGTTTTTTGCCACACGGGCCAGCGGGGGGGGGCGCGGCTACTTAAGCCATGACACAGAAGTATAGGAGTGGATATGGAGCTTTTGGCCTGTCCTTGGGCCTGCCCACAAAATATTATGCCGCCCCAGACTCAGGAGGCGCCAGTCAGCCCTGGGTTTTTAATAGTGCAGAATCAGATGCTCAGAAAGAGGGAGTGGGAGACCTTGAGAATTTGATCGAGTCAGCAGAGTAGCAGAAAACTTGTTAAAACATCCTGGATATATTTGAAGAGGGCTCCATCAGGAAAAAAAAAAATCCAACTTTAAAATAACTCAAGTAGATAAGCATCCTTTAAAGTTTCTCTTTCAAGCAGAAGCTAAATCTTCTGCTTCTTCCAAGCTACTGTTCACCTTCTGTTATGAATCCACGAATAACAAACTTGAACTTTTGTTTAAAGTGGTATACTGGAAATATTTAGATTATGCCCTGAAGGCACAAGAAAGTCTGAAATTATAGGATCCTGCCACTGAAGCGTTATCAAACAGAGTCAGAAACTAGTAGTGGTGTTCTCAAGTGGACTAATGAAATTATTTAAAGTTTGAACTTACATAAACATAAGACCGATTAAATTTTTCAAAAGTTACTCGTGCAGATCTGTTAGTTAACCAAGATAAATTTAGTTACAATAGATATAGGAGGGTTAACCTATACAGACAACTAGTACATTCCGGCTTGGCCCACTGCGTTAAGATTCTAACCTAAAATTATGCTTAAGCTCAGCAGGCTTTTCAGGTTAGCACATTAACATAAGAGCTGCCATACATCCTCCAGCCTGGTCGTTTCACATTTGCATTACAAGACAAGCTTTGAGGTATGGCTGGACACCATTCTCCTGCCCCAAGGCTGCTGCTTTATTCAGTTCAAAGCCTAGAAAGCAAGCTATTGTACAAATGAGCTTTCATTTAGCATCCATCCTCATGCACTGCACACTTCCCAAGCTCATCATCATGCAGCGTATCAAAAAAAAGTCATGCAGTTAAAAATGACATGGCTTCCCTACCATCCTCAGCTTGCTGCAGGAACCAGATGCTAAATTTTGTTTCATTAAATGAGACGCATGAGGATCCATAGCAATATACCTCTTCCATTTAGGCCCAAGTTTTTGAAGTCAGCAAACAGTAAATTTAAAGCAGCCAGAGGTAAAAACAGACTTTTTTTTTTACCCACTGCTTTAGACAACTTCTAGACTCACAACACTGGTTTGAATAAATTTAAACCCCTTCCACTTCTGACCAGAGCCCTTCAATTACCTTTGTTTTCTACTGACTGTCAGAATAAACTACTGGTAACCATACCAAATCGAGAAAAACGCATAGCAGATTCTGCACATACAATAGCCTTTGTTACCTCCCAAGACTCTTGTACATTATACTGAGCTTGGAAACTGTGTTGTGCTTCCATGGTTTGCCAGCTATTTGCTAATCAAGTAATATCTTGAGCATGTAGTTTATACTTAGCCTTATGAACACAGAGTTCCTCTCAAACACAAGAGCTGAAGTCACAAAATCGGCAAAACTCTGCCTCAAAGTTTTTCCTTAATTGATGCGAGTTAAGAAGTGAACTAATAGTTGGTGTGCATTTTTCAGTCAGAGACAGATGACAGACTTTTTGCTGAGGGCAGAGTATTACATATACGATTCTAAACAGCACAACAAAAACCTGAAGAGGTTCCCTTAGGTAAGGGAATCTCAACATATGATGCATAATTAAATCAATATTTCCATTACCCCACTGCCAGCTATGGTATGCTCCTCTTTGG